TGCAGTCTCACTAGTTTTTAATTGTTGGAAAAATGTATGATGAATCGGAGAAATAAATTTTAGCAAACCTAATATATCCTTCTTTTTAGCCGCAGAAATAGGATGCACAGATGGGTATAAATTTTCTTATTCTATATTCTTTAATTGCAGGGGTCTGCCATGCCGAGCACGCCGAATATTTAATGTATTAAACTTAGCATCTGAAGAAATTGTAGTTTTATAGAAAATATCGAATTGTTTTTCCCGTTCATAGTGCAACCACTAAATGGTGAGCCAATTTACAGTTTATGATAGTGTGTTTTTATTACGCTTCGTTGTAGATCGTTCCAACTGTTCCAACTGTTTAGTTGAAAAGAATTCGTTTCTTTTCATTTCACAAACGATAAATTTCTTAGAATGTCGAGCAGTTTTCATACAGTGGTACCAATCTTCAGGAATGTAGTTGAATGGCGTACTGCAGATTCTACAGATCCAAAAATTGATTCGTTCGGTAAAAACGAATGGCCCGATATTAAGAGTTTCTGTTCTATAATTTTTGTTGTTATATCATTACTTTGAACTAATTTTAACAGATATAAAGCTAATTTTATATTACGATTTTGTCCAATACAAGTATCACTATAAATAATTATTTTCTCTTTATTACTAGCAGTTTTGATATGCTTAATTAAACATGACGCGATTTCCTGTGATCCTCTTGAGGCTATCATTTCATCCCAAACATAAAAGTATCTTATATTTTCTCGTAAATCGTGAATACCGAAAGTAACAATACATATTTCTTTTATAATATGCATCAGAAAAACAGTCAATATTGGAAACGGCAATGCTTTCTGTAAATCGATGCTGCACACATAAACATTGTCTGTTGAACACTTTGCTGCATCCTCTTTCATAGAATTGCGTACTTTCTCAATTTTAATAAATACAACTCATGTTCATCTTTAAGTATTTTTATAGTTTCTTGATCGTCAGTTACATCTACTTTAATTTAATACTCATCACATTTTTTGCATGTATCCTTTCGTGGTATTTTAAAATGAAGATTAAAACGCGTATTAAATATATGACAATACATACCATGCTGTTTTACTGATTGTATATTTAATTCAGAACATTTTTCTTTATATAACATATACATCTTACGAATATTCAAATTTTCATTTAAATATTTTCGAGCTGAATTATGTTCGCGTGTGTAATGAGATACATTGGCAGGAAAACTTTGTATGTGGTCACAAACATTGTTAATAATATCATCTGAGTTTACGTGGATTTGGTGCTTTATCTCTGTCATCACTCCCACATCAGCACATTTACCTTCTGCGTGTTTCATTATAACTCTATTTAAATGTCCTTCAGATATACCAAAAATTTTATAAAAAGTATATACTTTTTACACACGACAATAGTGGAATCATCAACATTTTGCAAACAGTATACATTATTGCTACTTTTCATGCACCTGCTTCCATCCCGTGGACGTCTTCTTTTTATAAGCGCATCTGAACACATCCACAAATATACGCATTTTGTTCTTGAAAGGATCCCATTTTCCAGAAATTATCGAAGTGGTTCTTTCGTATTTCTTCCTCAATCACATCTTTACATTTCTTTTGGCATCCACAATCTTTGTTTTCAAATTTTTTCGCAGAAACTATATTAATATTACTCCGGTTTATATATTCTGCTCCCGAATTACGAAGTCTTTTTGTAACGTTCCTAGCCCAATCGTCACTATTTCTCACTCTTTTCCGGCCTTTTCTGAGATTTACATTTATGTTATTCATTGCAGATATACAAGTAATATAATGTCGCTGATATGAAAGATATAATAAGATACTGAACAGTTCTACAACGCAAAAGTGAATATTATAAACTTGAATGATCTTCATCGTGACAAACATTGTATACAAACAGTCATCGCGACTAAAGAGTCGAATGTAACAGTGATGTAAGTCCATATGTTGTGTAGAATAATGAAGTACGTCCAAGCTGGACTTAAGTCACTATTCCAGATATTTTTATGGTCACTTTATTTGTGATGTAAAATTGAATTCTATTTTTTATGAATATATAACATAAAAACAAAATATAAATAAATTAAATTGATAAAACAAACACATTCTTAGTACTTTCTACTTTTATAACAAACACATTTTTCCTAATTTTGGACTTATGCCACTTGTCAACTAAGGGGCTCATATAATAATCATGTTAGTATTAATAACGAGAGTTACAAGTAGTTTTAAAATTTATAATAAATACATTCATTGCTCTTTATAATAAAAAATGTGCTTATACTATACATTACAGGAAATATATGGTACCGTAATTCATCACTATATATATTAGATGTCAAAGGAACAATGGCAATTTTGTTTCTTGAGATAAATAACATTTTATACTATCTTTTTACTTTCATATCTATCCAAATGTAATCAAAATGTAATCAATCCATTTCTGTAGTTAATTTCAACATAAGTAACGTTCATATTAACGTATGTAAGTAAATAAATTAGAGTCAAATTAAAACATCTTCTTGAGTTAAATTATTTAATTGCAATATTAAATTAATGATATATTAAAGAAAATGAGGAGGAGGATGTTGTAATTTTACAATATTTTGATAAGCATTTTTTAAATATTACTCGCGCGAATATATTTTTATGTAATAATAATAATATATCTTTCTTAACACATTTTTTAAATGTTCCAAAGTAGTCAATGGAGGAATGAGCATTTGGAATAATTCGTGCATAAAAAAATTAGAGTGGAATAGGCAGTGTTGCCAGCTCTATCGTTTTAGTGGTAGATTTACCGTTTTGGCTCACGAACCTACTGCCTACTGTTTCAGCTAGGTTATCTACCGTCTTTCTTTATTTTATTTTGCATTTATAATATCCTACGTTACTGCTCATTTTACTCAAAGATTAGTTATCTCCTATCCGCCATGTTGTTCGCGCATCTCGCGCATCCTTCTGATTGGACGTATCGTCGTATACGCTACTCGTGTGTCATTGGTCTAGCGTCCAATAGACCTATTCTGTAACTTTGTAACGATAATTTTACTAGTTAGGGATTTCATTGCGCAGGTATTTTACATGACGAAAGAGCTGTACAATGTGCAACGACAATATAACCTGACAATATAACAGTATACCGATAACAATAACGAACTGTCATCAAAAGTTATAGAATAGGCCTACAAGACTTTCTTTATAACGCCAAGGATTATTTTTCTCCTAAAAATGGATTATTCCGAAATTTTCGAAGATGATTCTGACGACAGGTAATAAAAATTATTGCTGCTATTATTAGTGTATACCAATGATTTTTAACAACAATTATGCACTTTCATTTTTTAGATCATCGGGATCCAAACAGCCCAAGACAGAAAAAGCAGAAAAAATATGATCAGAAATATAAAAAGGAATGGGAGATAGAAGAAGTTTTAAGAAAATGGTTACAACCAGATAAAAATAGCATAGAGATTCTTATTATTTTTATCTGATTGTAACCATTTTCTTAAAACTTCTTCTATCTCCCATTCCTTTTTATATTTCTGATCATATTTTTTGATCATATTCTTCTAGAGAGTGCTTACTGTGCAAAATGTGTAATAAGACAATAAGTGTGAAATCGGGAAAAATGCAACTATATAGACATATGGAGACAGCAATGCATCAGCGTCTAAGCAAAAATATATCAAAACAAGTTAATTTTCTTGACATAACTAAATCTTTAGTTAACTAATTTAAGAAAAGGGCTGATTTTTATTTAACATCATATATAACAGAACATAATTTATCGATGAATTCGATAAATCATCTCTCTTTTCTAATCCAAGCAATTTGTCCTGAATATGAGAATACAAAAAAAATTCAATGTCATCGTACCAAATGCACAGCAATAATAAAAAATGTTCTGGGTAAATACCAATTCCAATTAATAACACAACGTTTAAGAACAACTACATTTTCATTAATCGCTGGCGAGTCGACTGACAAAGGTTGTACGAAGCATCTTGGCATTATTGCTAGATATTTTGATAGTGAAAGGTGAGTAGACATATTCTTCATATTCTTATCTTTTTATAATCTTTATTAAATTTACATTGAACTATTTTACTTTCCAGGATAAGAGATTCATTTCTCGCATTAATTCCCATGAAAGATGCAAAGGCAGATGACATTTATGGAAAAATTATCAAGTTCTTCACGACACATAATATTCCATATAAAAAGAACCTAATCGGCTTTGCCTCTGATGGAGTCAATGTATTGGCAGGCCAAAATAATTCTGTGATGACTAGGTTAAAGGCAGAAAATAAATCTATTTTTTTAATTAAATGTATCTGCCATAGCTTTAGTTTATATGCGAATTACGCGTGTAAAAAGCTACCTAGGGAAGTGGAGGATTTAGTAAGAGATGTGTATAATTACATTTCTAATAGTCCCAAAAGAACAGCTTTTTATCAAGAATTTCAAAAGTTTACTGAAATTCCAGTTCACAAAATCCTCCACCTCGCCCAGACAAGATGGCTTTCACTTCCCAAACAGCACAAATGACTGTTTGCCGACTAATTGTCGACTTTATTTAGTCGACTTGAAGTCAACTTGTATAGTCGACGTTTTGTCGACTGTTTATGGAACGGTTTTTGTCGACTGTAATTGTCGACTACAAGTTGACTTAAAGTCACTCATTTTCCGGGCATTAAAGTCGACTCTTTATGTTTGACTTTTAGTCGACTTATATTGTCAACTTTTTTGCTCACTTTAATTATAATATATACACATGTGTTAATAAAATGATAATTTTAATATATTGTTTGATATTTATATTTGGCGCTAAATAAAACTTAAGAGGCGCTAGTCTGCGCTAATGTAATTATTTCTGGGTCTGTTCGGTTACTGTACATTCATGTTCATATCAGTTTATGTGTGTTATGCGAGAACATGGCACGCTGCCGGCTGCACGTGGTTTATCGTGGCTGTGTTCCAAAATTGACTGCCAATACTGAAAATCTATAGTGCACGTAACGTAAACTGTAGCATTTTCAGTGTTGGCAGTAAATTTGGAACACAGCCCGTGTAATACGCAATTGGTGACGATCCAAGGTAATCATTTTATTTTCTTATAATTGTTTATGAAAATAATAAAATAAATATAGGGGGGGGGACACATATTGAAACATATAAATTTATAAGTATTTTTTTGGATATTTGGCCATTTCTTGAAAAAGAAATGCATTTCAAAATTTGAGGTTGTAGAAATTGCAAAATTATATGTAAAACGTAATATTTGTTACTTAATTTTCAGTGTGCTCGATTGATTTTGATTGATACCTCACTGGGATATTTTTGAAAAAAGAAATATATTAAGAATTTTGTATATGTATTAATATATGATTTTATATGTATTAAAGTTATATTTTAAAAATTTTGAACTGAAATATTATGTAGTTGTGTATACATATATTTAATGTTTTATTATATTATATCACCTATTATTAATTTCACTTCATCTGTATACTTATTACTAAAATCTATATTTATTATTAGAATTTTAATTCTAATAATTATTTATCAAAAACTTCATCTAATTTTTATTATACTTCAAATTTAATGTATAATATATGTATATATATTTATGGATGTTATATAATACACATTTAAAGTAAAATAAAATTGATTAAGTTTTTGATAAATGCCATTTAAAACAAAATTAATCAATAATAAATACATAGATAATAAATTGATTAAGGCCGATATTTATGGTTATAATGCAATGATTATTTATGATTGTACTGTAATGATTATTTGAATAATCATTACAGTTTCATAAATCTGTGATTATTCGCCAATTAATATATGTTCAATTTTTACAAGGATTTACCATTCAAAGATGATTATTCAACTATTTAGAATATGAATACCATGATTATCTTTGTGCAAATTGAATATAAAATGACGAATAATCTCAGATTTTGATGAAACTATGATTATTCAAATAATAATTAATTAAATATCGACCTAAAAGTCGACAATAAATCGACTTATAACTTTGACTGATAGTCGACTTATTGTCGACTAAAATTCGACATGGTTGTCATAACCTATTCAACGCTGGCTTATACAAATTGACATTTGTCGACTATTAGTCGACTATAAATTGGTATTCAGTCTGACTTTAAAGTCGACTTTAGACTTTGTCTGCCGACTGACAGTCGACTAACAGTCGACTTCGTGCTGTTTGGGTTGTGTCTGTAGTTTTAAGATTATAGAACAATATGAAGCGCTAAAACTATATTTTGTGGATGCAGTTACAAGTGATAGATTATTAGCAGCAGAAACTATTTTACAAAAGTTGAATGATCCATTATCAAAACTTTTTTTACAGTTTTTGAAATTCATTTTACCTATATTTAATAATTTAAATAGGGAAATGCAATCAACTTCTCCACAAATCTATCATTTAAGATCCAAAATTATAACGGTATATAAAACTATATTGGAGTGTTTTATAAGAAGAGACTTGATTATAAACTGTGTAATTGAAAAAATTGATTACAAAAACCCATATAATTTTCTTAAATTGGAGGACATTTATGTAGGTGCAGAAAACTGCGCTTTTCTGTCACGTTCTGATAATGGAATAACAAAGGAACAACAAATCTTTTTTAGAATACGATGTTTAGATTTTTTAATTGAAAGTGTCAATCAGATCAATACTCGATTTGATTTCACAAATGATGTTCTCATAAAATTGGAGTTGATTAACCCTGAAAATGTTAAAAAGGGTAGTTCGACTTCAATTATTCCCTTGGCATTGCATTTTCCAAATTTGGTACCGAAGGAGGATTATCAAAAATTAGATACAGAATGGCGACTACTAAGAAATTCTGAAATCCAAAATTTCAGCGACAATGGTGAAGAGTTTTGGGTTTCAGTATTGAAAAAAAAATATAATGATAATACGCCAATGTTTGGAAAAGTCAGTACATTTGCTATTCAATTACTTTCTCTCCCTCATTCCTCCGCTAACGTCGAAAGATTATTTTTTCAAATTAATCTAATAAAAACCGATGTAAGAAATTTGATTTCATCTGCTACTCATTCTGGACTCATACATACAAAAGAATACTTAAACGGTAAAAATTACTATACCTTGCCTATATTAGAAGAACTATTTAAATTGCATTCTAATAATATGTATTATATAAGAAAAATAAAGACTATGAAATTGATGTTAACTGATTCTGAGATTAGTCATTCTAGTCAAATTAGTGAGACTGAAGATTAAAGAAAAAACAAAATAACGCGTTATAATTTTCCAATAATGTTACTATAATTCATATATAAGGCATATTATATAAATTATATTACAGTTGCATTGTTGAGTGGAAAATTGTAACATTAATGTTGTTATTTCTTTTGTGCTTCCTGGAAAACACTTTTATACAGATTTGAATATTTTTTTCTGTTACTTTTTATAAAATATTAAATAATTTGTAATAATCATCAATGTAATTATCAATGAGAAATTTATAAATAAAGATTAAAGGAAAAAGTATATAGTATGAGTACTTTTTATTATTTTTACTTTATTTGCTACTGAGTTGTTTTCGGTTATATATTACTTATAACTACAATATTTTTTTCTATTTTCTAACAGTTTTCTCGAAATTTCTTGAAAAAAAAGAGTCTACCGCTTTAAATCTACTGCTTTTTTGGCATATCCTCTACCGTCCAATTTTTCAACCACCTGGCAACACTAGGAATAGGCCTACTGGAGAAACTACTATAAAAAAAGCGCACCATGCTATCTACTCGTACCTCATGATAGATGGTGTAGAATGATAGCATTTTATCATTGTCTTGGGATAGACATTTACTTACAAGTAGCTTTATAATAAAATTACCTCTATCTACCATAAATATTTTTAAAAATAATAATTTTTTTAAAAAGTTCTGAAAATTGTTGCCAACATAGAATTTGAAGGGTGAAATGTGAGGCCTCATGTGTGAAGCGATTTTCAGCTTTCTCCGCTATATCTCGAAAACTATTTGAGATATAAAAAAATGTTTTATACAATTGTTTTACAATAAAATTACCTCTATTTATTCACGCTAATGATATTTTTTTAGAATAATTATTAAACAATTTTTTTTCGAAAATTTAAAAAAAACATTGGTAAATAATTATTCTAAAAACGCGAATGAATACAGCTAATTTTGTTGTAAAACTTTCGTATCAAACACTTTTTTATATCTCGAATAGTGTTCGAGATATAACGAAAAAAGCTGGAAACCGCTGTACACATAAGGAATGATTTCACCTCTTCGAATCGTTTTTGCGCACCAATTGATATTTTCTAAATTCATCTCTTTATGTAAGCTACAAGTCCACAAAGTTTCATTAAAATCAGAATTTGACACCTCGAGAGGTTCCCTTATTAGATCATATTGGGTACGTATGAATATGATATAAAAATATATTTTTCTATCTCTTGTATAAAAAAAAATGTTAGAAAAATGGAAAAATGTGATCCAACATTACTTTTATAAGATTATACATTTATTAGTGACACGTTTATTAACATATAGGAATACCCAAAAAATTATTTTCCAAACACAATAGACTTATTTACATACTCATTTACTTATCTATTTATCTATTCATTTCCACGACGTTTAGCAGGTGAGTAAGAGCATCCATCTGGAATAACAAAAATACCAAAAAGAAAGAATGTTACAATCGATGTGTATATTCAATATGCCCATAGGTTGGCCATATTGGTTTACTTTACAAGGAGTTTCCTCTCTTTAATTATAAATGACAAAAATATAAACTGAACATATAATGTTGAATAGTTACAATAACATGAACTTAGGACGACTAGACTGGTTTTTTCCGGACATGTACACTTTTAAGGCGTCCGGGAACGTCCAGTCGGATTTTCAGCATGTCCAGTATTATACTCTTTTTGAGAAAGAACGAGAGGACCGGAAACTATTAAGTTAACCATCGCATCATGAAATACATAGTAAGCTAATCACTAGACCATTACCCATTACTATACATATGTGATAAAATATTTGAAAATTATTAAGTATTATTATTATTATATCATATAAAACCGTTTTTTGCTAATACTAAATATATGTTTTCATCTTTCTTAGGATTTTGAAATGTATACTCTTTTTCTTTTAACGTATAACAAATCAAACTAACTAAGACTCCTTATAAATTAGAAGAACCAGGAAAGAACAAGAGCAATAGGAGTCAAGCACAGAAGACGTTGCGCAAATAATACGACTATATAGCGTAAAACTTCTTTATTTTACTAAACGCGCTTAGGACTTCCGTTTCCGCTGTGATAGAGTGAAGTAGAGATTTCGAGAAAAATCAGAGCAAGGTGTGGAAGTAGGGAGAGAAGACTTCCGTTTCCGCTGTGATAGAGTGAAGTAGAGATTTCGAGAAAAATCAGAGCAAGGTGTGGAAGTAGGGAGAGAGTGAGGTGTGAGAGAGTATAAAGTGAGTGGAATTGAAAGAGGGTGTGACGGGAAGGGTGAAAGAGTAGAGGGAGAAGTGAATGATAGGGAGGTTGACAGGAAAGAGAGTGAGGGAAAAGAGATTGAGGTTAGGGGAATCATTGGTAGTTGGGCAGGTGGTACGCGGGGAGATAGACGGAAAGGAATTTTGGTGAGTAGGTGGTGGGGGCAAGTGAGTTCGGGTAAGGTCGGTCGAGATGTCGATAGATCGAATCAGTTCAGGAAAGATAGGTAGAGGGAATAAAAGGAGTAAGAGAGAGGATAAATGACGGAAAGAATTGAAAGGCTAGTAAAGGATAGACGGGGAAGCATAGGGGATTTATATGGAGAAATATCTGAAAAGGAAGAGGGAGGGAGAGGGAGGGGAAGAGGGAGGGAGAGGTCAAAATAAGTGATATATTCAGGAGAAGTAAAAAAACGATAAGGTCCGTTAAAATGGGAGAGGAGGGGGGATGATGGAAATACTTAAGGAGATGAGAGAGGAAATGAGAGAAGGGTTAAAGGGATTGAGAAAGGAAATAAGGAAGGTAGCAAAGGGACAAAAGGAGTTGATAAGAAAAGAAGTGGAAAGGATAAAGGAAGAGTTGAAGGAGAGGGACGAAAAATGGAAAGAGGAGAAGGATGGAGAGGATAAAGGCACTGGAAAGGGAATTGGATAAGGTGAAGGTAGAGTCAGGCATGGTGGAAGGATTACATGGTGTGCACAGTTGAACGTGTGTCTGTCTAAAAATCTGCGCTTTCCTTCTATTGGGTGCATTCAGTACGACGATCGCTCACTGAGCGCTCAGTGAGCGCTATCCGTGAGCGCTCAGTAAACGGATTTTATGTACTGGATGAAATGCTCTCTTGATATTTGGTACATATTACTGAACGCTCAGTGAGCACCCTAGTATCATGTATTGGACATAAGCGCTCACTAGCTGCTTATTGAGAGCACTAATCATTTTTCGTCAATTTTGGTGAGCGTAAATTTTTGTCGCTCACATCGCTCACTAAGACCGATGTTCAATTTATTCATTTCTTTCACAATTCTAGAATTGGAAAGAAATGAGAAACAAGTTGGACCTCGGTTAAGAGGTAACCGTGAAACTGGGCCTAAGCATTTATGATAAAGTATTCACGTTTTCACAGCTTCGGGAAATAATAAACGGTAATATAAGTAAGTAAGAAATATAATTTAATTAGCTATAAATAGGTTATTCTACATACGAATAAAAATATAAATAATTATTTAGAACACGGACTAGCTGCACCTTCGATTTTGATGAAATTAGGCTCATTCGACGCGTTTTTACTCGAAACGAAAGAATCTGTAAGAAAAAATGTTGGATCTGCCCCACAAACCGAGATATTGAGCGTTAAAGTTGACTATTTAGGTTAGGAAATCTATCAAATCGACCCAACGTTTTTTCTTACAAATTCTTTTATTTTAAACAAAAATGCGACGAATGAGCCTAATTTAATCAAAATCGGAGGTGTGGTCCGCATTTTAAATAATTACCAACACACACACACACACACACACACAATATATATATATACGTATGAAAAATTAAAATTATTTTTAGTAGCTACTTTGACAAACATGGACGGATACTTTACGGAAGAGCAATATATTATTGAGGGTATAATATATAATATTATTGAAATTGCTGATATTCATAAAAAACTACGAAATGATAAGTTAAGTATAGTATAATATTTCATTCAAGTAATTTTATTAAAGATACGATTGGTATTTATAGTTGTTTTTAAAAAATTGTATTAAATAAGATCTTAAGATAATAAAAGATCTCTGATGTAAAATATTAGCGATTTACTAACAGATTGGCAAAAAATTCAATCGAATTTCCACTGCAGATTCATAGCATCTATATCCGCATTAAGTTCAGGATTTTTTGATAATATTTACTGACATATGATGTCAGCAAATTGATAGCACAAACAACAGGATCTGTGTGCGTGGACAATTTGATGATTGACAGAAACCGAGCAAAAGCAATTTAACAAGCTTTGTCTTATTTCTGATGATAGTTTGATATCGTCAGATATTACAGATTTTTTGTTGTTTTTGTCAGAAATCGATAGCAAACTGTGCCGAGAATCTGTTTTTATAGGCTTGGCTACCTAGAGCTACCTAGCATGTTGGTATGACTCTGTGATAGATTTATGACATCTTAAGAATCTGAACACAAGAATTGTCATAACACTTACTTAGACTTAAGTTGTAGACGTAAGTAACACACAAGCTTTCATACATGAAAGTATTACTGTATTTCTAAGAGACAGCAATAAGTCGTATGTCATATGCCAAAGCTTGTGTGTTACTTACGTCTACAACTTAAGTCTCTAAGTATTACGACAATCTTGTGCTCAGATCCTCAGACTGTATTTAAAACGGACTTAAATATAAGAATCGATTATGAATATTGACCTATAATTCTGTTTATGTCTAAAGATTTATATAAAATATTTCTTGTTGTAGATCCCATTTTTGCATCGCAATACATACATGATAATAGGTCACAATTGGAATTTAGGCCACAATCTGCTACAGAGAATGAAAATAGTAAGTAAAATTATATTAATAATATTAATATAAATTTTATTTAATAAATAAAATATTAATATAAATGTTATTTATTTTATACATTTTACAACATTTGTACGATCATATTCCTTTTTTCTGTACCGTTCTCATTAAGATACTCTATCTCATCTAAATCTTCTATTTCATTATTTTCAATCTGACCTATCTCCTCATTATCTTCCTCTATCTCATCAGGAGTGTAATCGTCATTATCTTCTTCCATTATAATAAAATTATGTATAATAAAATGCACGCAGATGCAATGGTATAATTAATTAAATCTAAGTTGTACATTTCCAAATACTTTAACTTTCTAAATTTTCCTTTTAGTAAAGCGAAAGTCATTTCTATCCTCGATCGAATAGAACTTAATTTTTTATTATATCGTATTTGTTCCCGTGATAAATGACCATTATCTTTAAATGGTACCATTAAAAATTGACTTAATGGATAAGCACAATCCCCGATTAAATGATATGTTGCTGAAATTAAATCATGATACATAATGTTTTGAAAGAGAGGGCTATTTCGCAAAACGCGTGCATTGTGAACTCTTCCTGGCACACCTATATGCACATCTATAAATAATTTTCTGTTATCGCATACACCTTGCAAAATAACACTATGGAAACCTTTTCTGTTGTAAAAATCTACTGGATTGTTATGTGGTTGCATTATTTGAACATGGCAACTATCGATCACACCAATTACCCCTGGTATTCCTTGGGTGCGTTCCCATTCATTTCGTTTCAGTGCAATAGCCAGTGGCCGCCATTTTGCTGGATACTGCACTGGAGAAGCGTTCCCAAATGACTGGATACGGGCTAGTGACGTCATACATACATGCAGCCTCGCACGCGTAATATAAAAATTGTAATAGTGTTGAACAGAATTATTGCTAATAGAATTATCATTGCTAACAGAATTATTGCTAGTATTATTGCTATCTTATTGTGTTGAATTGTTGCTAGTAAATATAGAAGAAGATCAGAATGTCGGCCAGAGAATGTGCAAGTTTTGCTATGCAAGAAAAGAAAGTACTTGTACAATTATTAAGTGCAGAAAATAACATGTTGTATACGACGTTTCTGTCATCTGAAGATGAAAAGCGGGTAGCAAATGGTAACGTTATTTTCGATATATATTTCATTAGTGTTTAGTTCTCTGCAGAGTTTGAGGTTAAACTGACTTGAACTTCAAATTGCACAGATTATTATTATACAAATCTTTTATTATGAATCATTTACAAATATAATTTTGCTCAATCAATTTTAAATGGACTCATTCGAGATCAACAACTAAAAGAAAAAGAAGCTTATGAATTTGAAGAACCTGAGGCTGAAAATTTCGCGAATAATACAGGTAATGATTTTACGATTTTATGAATTTAATTTAAATAAATATTGCATAAATAGTTTATTTTTAATTAATCAAACAAATATATTTACAGAAGAGGTTCACAACGCCATGTGGACACACGAAAAAATTTTGCTTTTAATAAGTACATATCGTGAACAACAAGAAAAAATGAAAAGTGGAAAAATGTTGCTACGTAAAATGTAGAAGCAGGTTTCTGAACACATTAAAAAAATGGGCTATGACATTCCCCCAAATAAATGTGCAAGTAAAATAGATTCCTTAAAAAGGAGATATAGAAAAATTATAGATCACAATAAACAGTCTGGAAATGATTTCATGACATTCAAATATTTTGATGTAAAATATATCATTATATCCATTTTGTTTTTGGTCGAAAGATTATTATTACATGATAATATCATAACAATAAATTAATAATAACATAACAATAAATTATATTGTTTTCAGGAACTTGACACCATATTTCGTAAGCAATCATGGGTGAATCCTGTTGCGATTGCAAGTAACGAGTTGCAAGGCAAGAGTTTTGAAAATAGTGACGACAGAGATGACTATCAAGAAAACGTTTCGCTAAGTGAGTACTTATAATATAAATTATTAAATATATAACTAATTATTTCATTTGCAGAAATGAACTTAGGTCAGATTATGATTTATATTTCTCAATTTCATTTTTCGTTGCAGATACCGATAAAAGAGCAGTCAAAAGAACTCGGACCGAAGTTCTGCAGGAAATTTTAGAAGAGAAAAGGCTTCGCAGAAAATCTTCGGAAGCATACCAGAAGTCAAAATTAAGCCTGCTGCACAAGTTGATGAACCATATTTCGGAAAAGAAATAATTTGAAAAGGATAAGAGCGATATATCCATGGAATGAATAGTAAATAAATATGAATTATTCATAATCAAGTTATTTCATGATTTTGTCGTACTATAGACATTGAAAATTAATTTATTATTTAACATTTTAGTTGCTCGACAAACAATGATGTCCAATTTCCACGGAAAGTAAAACAATAATGAGCAATACTGCAGAAAAGGTAAATTTAATACATTTTTTGTTATATCACGGAATAAACATTTCGTATGTTAACTTTTTGTGTAACATTTCATGTAATATTTTGTGTGAATTTACAGTATTGAATCTCCATGGCAGACAGCTGCATAGTGCAGACGAGACTGCATTATTATCAAGTTAACAAAAAAAATGCTTCGTTCTTTTTATTTTTATTACGTTTGTTTTCTTTATTTTTGTTATGAATTTTCAATATAAATATAATTATAAATTACATTTATACGTTTATTTGTATATATATATGAACTTAATTTTAAAATGTTCGCAAATACAAATGTTCATTTATTTTCGCAAATACAAACTATGTTTGCAAATACAAGTGTTTATTTATTTTTAACAAAACTTATAATTGATTTAACAAGCGAGTTAAATTTTCACGCTTCACAATACCTTCATTCCGATGATTTACATTCACATCCAGTGATAGTAATTCTTGTAACATATTACGATTTTCGACTAGTATCGGTATATCAATTTCATCGTTTCTCAACAAACAAAGATTATGTAAAACACAACAACCAATGATATAACGTGGTATCAAATCCGTTCTTGTCATCGGAAGTCCGTCCAACAAACACCGCCAACGTCCTTTCAGCAATCCAATGGACCGCTCCCCTGACGAAAATAAGAAACTTTATAAA